GGAGGAAAGGGATCCATATTCTGGACCTTCAGGAAGGGTATCCTTCTAGCCCATTTCCGCTGGCGAAAGGAAAGTCTTGTGACATATTAAGATGGACAAGAAAAGATTGGGAATGAAGAGCGCGGGAAAAGGAAAGAAGAGTTTTACACAACTTTTACTGTTTTAAGGAATAAGCAGAGAGAAAGAGAGAGAGTACCCTGCCATTTGTGAAGAAATGGTACGCACGACGCACAGGTAAACATTATTTATCGACAAGTCGATAGTTGAGACCTTAGCTCCTAGTGGCTACAACGATGCTACCAGCTACTCCGTTTCAACAAAAAACAACAACAGAGGAATAGTGGAAGTATATCCCCATACCTTCCCCATGAACTACCCTTGAGCACAGCCAACTGAAACTGGACCCTGGGCACTAGGCCCTCCTAATTTATCACAAATAAAACAGAAAAGGAAATAAGAAGCGGGCCAGTGACCTAGCTCAGTTGGTTGAGAACGTAAGGGGCATTCAAGAGGTCACGTGGGTCCGATCCCCATGTTATCCATTTGACTCCCCACGGCCCCTGCGGCATGCTTTGGGTTCACCAGCTGAGATAGTTGGCTTGCCCCCGCTACCGGTAATTGGCTTGGGGGAGAGCTCGCTCCCATCCAATACCAGGGGTTAGGTTCGACCCTGAGGGGATAGGCTCAACCCTGTGGGGATAGGCTACCTTGAGCCGATAGGCAGGCCGGGATACCTTATTAGGGTGATCACTTGGTGGCCCTTGCCCATAACTCTCAGCGTCCCATGCTACGTGGTTGGTACAAATTGTATAGGTTCAGCTCGACCCTTAGGTCTCATGTCTGGTGGTTGGTAGGTAGCTAACGCCTTCACCCGAATAGAACGCCCAGTCATTATATAGCCATATTTGGTGCAATTTTCAGTCCAGATACGGCTATAATGACCGGGCGTTCACAGGGCGTTCTATTCAGGTGAAGACGGTGGGAGGTTGACATAATGTTGAGAGAAGAAAACATAGTACTAAAACATACAGCTGCCCCCAAAATGAGGAGGAAAAAAAAAAAAACACAAAACAAAACGAAGAAGAAGAAGAAGAAGAAGCAGAAGAAGCAGAAGGAGAAGAAGAAGCAGAAGGAAAAGAAGAAGAAGGAGAAGAAGAAGGAACTCTGCTTACCCTGCATACAAGGGGAACACCTTGCTCAAGCTCCAAGGGAAGTCGTAACCGCTATGCACATCCATAGCCTCCAGTATACGCAGACACATCCATAGCCACAGTGTAAATATATGTGGTCCTATGAGGGCAGGACCGGCAGCCGTAGCGACACCCAAGAAGATGATCTCGAACGGATGTGCATACTGCGACGCCAGGCCAAAGGGAGCTGCATACCTGCATCCCAAATGAAATGTGAAATGAAAGTCGATCTTTTCATTTTGAAATTTGAAGTTCTTTTGCACTGTTTGTGTTTTTTTTTTTTTTTGACGAGTTAAGCCACCACGATGTGCGCCAGGCTAAAAAGGTAAAAACTGAGTGAATTTCCACAACACCCGAAAGCGCCGAAAAGGCCCGAAACTTTTCGGGGCTCGCGGTTACCGTACTAAAATGGCTGGCACTGCCAGCCAAAAAGAACAGAAAAATTCCACCCACACTGGTTCATTTTTTTTCGCAGACGCCCAGCACGATTTCACAGGTTGGCAAAAACAGCCTCGGACATAGTGGTGGTTTAATACTGATAATAAAATATCTGAAATGCCTTCCTGTCCAGATTCGACACGTAACTGAATTGGTTGGGCTTAAAAGAATTAGCCTTTAAAAAAAAAAAAAGGGATAATATTTTATTAATAAATTAATAATTTAATAAATACAATATGAAAAATACAATTGAATGAACTACATCTGGAGGGGTTACCGTCACACAGACAGTTATGCAGGGCATGATGACCTCCGTGCCGCAGTGAGAAGATTTCATCAGGATATCATAGTTGCATGTCAGACTGGATATCCAACCTGGTGCAAGGTCCCACTTACGGAAATTCTTCATTCCAAGTTCCCAATTGCAGGGATTCTTCGATCCTGGCCGTCCCACGTGCTAGCTAAGCGGGGACATCGCACCAGGTCGCGCGACCTTGCATCAGGTATGCTGGGATTCTTTGTTCCAAGGTCCCACTTGCGGGGATTCTTCATTCCAAGGTCCCACGTGCTGGATTCTTTGGTCCGGGCTGTCACTCTTGCTGGCAATGCTGGGTACCCTCGGTCCCCCAAGGTCCCTCGGTCCCACATACCGGGACGAGTCCACCTTTGTACCAGGTGGCGAGGCCTTGCACTTAGGTATTCTGGGATTCTCAATTCCAAGGTCCCATGTGTCGGGATTCTTCGTTACAAGGTCCCACTTCGCATAGTGGGCTTACTTGTCCCAAGGTCCCAGTTGCTGGAACTCTTCGGTCCCAGGTCCGTCCCACTTGCTGGAGTTCTTCATGCTGGCCGTCGGTCTTTCAGAGTTGTCTGACAGGCAGAAATGAAGGGTCCGGTTGTTTGGGACCTGTCCCCTGATATCTGTTTGGATAATATAATAAATATATTAATAATAGTTTAATATCCAATTGGATATCCAACCAGATGAGCTGTTTTTTTCCCCCCGTTTTGTTCCCCTCTCGGTCCTCCTCTCCTTTAAAAAGGGAGACGGCCTTCAGATATCACAGTGGAACAGTGGACCTGACTGGCCCCAGATGATTCAGAATCATACTTAGTTGATTTCATTCATCTGGATTCTGGTCCCATTTCATTCATCTGGTCCCATTTCATTCATCTGGTCCCATCTATGGATTCGAACTTGGGTCTGTATTTCAATTTTCAACAGTCCAGGGGGGGTATACCAACTGAGCTAGGCCAGTTGGTAAACAAGCTGTTTTTTGGATGTCAGAGCCTCAGACCCGATATCCAGGTGTGTACTATCGTCTTCACCCGAATAAAACGCCCTGGTCATTAACGCCATATGTTTTTTGGTGGACCTTTCAGTCCAGATTCCAGACACAGCTATAATGACCGGGCGTTCTATTTGCGTGAAGACAGACGGTAGTTGGATATCAGGCACGCAATAAATTTGACAAATTGCTCTCATATTTTCCTGTTGCATCAGGTTCTGGTAGACACATCTAGCGATCAAAAAGTGCCCACCGGAGCCGCCGAATGCAACAGAAGTCTCTGTCAGAGTACCAAACACCGCTTAATCGATATCTGCCGTTACCTGGTAGACATGCCTGCTGGTATAACCTTCTTATTAAGTTCTTAATCCATTATATATATTTTGATTCCATATCGAATCCCTGTACATGTAATGTTTTTTCAAGCCAGCTGAGGAAGAAGAGCAAGAAGAAAAGACAAGTAGAGACCAGAGAAAAAGAAAAGAAGACAAGTCCTTGTACCAAAAGGCCTGGCACACGTGTAATTTCCCTGTGGCTGAATGCTGCATAACACACATGCAACTGCTGACAAACAGGTCATGAGCTCAATTTCTGACATACTAAATCATGTTTAGGGCCTACCCGGGTCAGGAATTGAACGCATGATCTCTTTGTTCGCAGTTGCGCGTATGTTATGTACTATTTGCAAATTTTGCATGATGAGTATGTGATAATACAGGCCATACCATAAGATGATTAACAGACAGAAGACGAGAACGAGAGTACTTACTTTCATCAGAGAGTCCTCTGAAGGATCTGAACCAGGACAAAGACCAGGTTCATGGGGCCAGGGACCTGGCTTGCGAACGCCCTGGTGAAACTGCTATAGTACATCGCCCAGGCAAACTTGAGAGTCAAGAAATCGCGCCAATGATCCGCCAATCCAAAAAATTCGGGGGCTCGAGGCTACCGGACCACAATGACGGGCAGCGTCATCCAAAAAAGAAAAGAGAGGCGCACTGCTGGCAGTTTGTCAAGGCCTGCCGCGCAGTCTGAATCCGCCACGCAGCCACTGCAAAGAAAAGCTCAGATGTACTGGTTCCCTACACGACCCAGAGATGTCATACTGTAAAGTATACGGCCGATCTTTCCGGTCTGTTATAGCCATCATGAGGGTGCATTGTGTTCTCTTTTTCCCAGGTGTTCCCTACACAATCACTGAACGGCGGTGAGTTGGCATAACATGCTGCGACCCAGACCTAACGTCTTCCTCCGAACGCAATGCACCATCATCATCATCATTGCACTGCACCGGAAAGATTGCCTCTACACATTCACGACGAGGGTGCATTGTATTCGGGGCAAGATGGTACGCGGCAAGAAAGCAACTGAGGACCCATGAAAGGAGCAAAACGTGAAGGGTAGCATCAGTGTCGTGGACGGCTGCACTCAGTGCACTGCCTGCGCGGCTGTGCAGTCATTGGCCACCCTACACACCACAGATCCGATCCGCAGTCAAACAGCACTCTGTCCTTGTAGGTGGGAGCTGTTTGCACATCTGTGATTACTTGGTTGATTGATCAGCAAGTGGGTTCCATGAAAGAGATTCTACGCAGATGTTCAAGTCCCGGGGCGAGGTCCCGCGTACCCAGCTTCTCCATGTGTCCCGACTCCCCGTCAATTGCAGAGATCAACAGACGGAAGCGAAGAATCCAGGCAAGTTACACCTTGTCCCCTGGAGGTGAATTCTCCCTTTCCAGCTGTAGATTACAATGATCGACAGGGACTGAGGTCCCACTTTCCCGAAGGTCCCACTTTCCCGGAGGTCCCACTTTCCCGGAGGTCCCACTTTCCCGGAGGTCCCACTTTCCCTGATGTCCCACTTTCCCGGAAACGAAGAATCTGGGGGAATGTGGAACCTTGTCCCTGGAGGTGAAGCGACAATGTTGCCCCTCTAGTGCATATGATTTATGGGAAGAGGACTCTGCATGCGCTGTGACTTTGCACCAAAGAAGCCAACGATGTAGACAAGGATGCAAAGATGGCACTGCTGCCACAGTGTTGTTTCGAATTTCGAATACGGGTACGGATAAAAGTGGAGGCGTGTGTTTGGCCTGCTGGTGGTTAGCTTCTCCCTGTGTGGTGGGCATTTGGCATGATGAAAGAATTGAATGGACGGCTTGGTGGATTCCATTTGGTTGCGCAGATTCACAGGAACAAAAAAAAAGAGTTAAAAAAAAAAAGTTGCAGCGACGGAAAGCTAAGGACGAATCTGAGAAGAGAAGGAAGATTGTAGCTCTATTGCTGTTGTGAAATCCTGGACATCAGTACTACGGTACTACTACCGTCTTCCCCCGAACACAACGCACCCTTATTTTGGCTGTATCTGGCCGCAAATATAGCTTGTATACGTTCATTTTTAGGGTGCGTTATGTTCGGGGGAAGACAGTACCCGTATGGGCTACACATGTCTTGTAAGTTCTAATCCGACGAATCAGATCCACTTCACCAGCTTGGGAAGGCTTTTCGGTATTTCGGACTATTTGCAAATTAGATGCGTACATGAAATCTGTTCATTTCGCAACGGCCGTCCCAAGCTGGAGACAGCCTGCAGTACACTGGAGGATCTGCTGAGGAACAACTGCATGTCCTCCATTGAGATAAAGAAGTGAGGGGAGGGTAGGAGGGCACACAACACACATGGAAACAGTGAAAAAAAAGGGAAATATCTGCTGGTCTCCGTGTTGTACGTCAACAGCACAAAATTGCGGCAGAGAATGGACAATGGCATCGTCTGAAGAGGCCGTGTGGAAAGCCAACTGCGCCCAACAAGACTATAAGACTATGCTTGGTGAGAACTGTGCATGAGAGTTTGGCTTAACCATAGTCATGGTCTCTCTGTATGATCTTCTGGCACTCTACCTTTCCAGCCGCACTGAGGAAGGTGGAGCTTCAGCACACGCTTCCAGAAGTTGCAGGGGGTGAGGTGTTGTGGTTGGTCGCAAAAGACTGACGACCACAGCAGGCAGTAGTATGACGAAGCAGATTGACGATGAAGGAATGCCAACACTATGCTTATGATGTCCGAGCAGAAGCAGGCTTTCATTCATCACAGGCTGTGGTTGCAGCAGGTAAGGTTCTGGCAAAGAAAAGTCGCACAACCTCCGCAACACACATACACACGCACACACACACACACACAGACAGACACACACACACAGAGAGAGAGAGAGAGAGAGAGAGAGAGAGAGAGAGAGAGAGAGAGAGAGAGAGAGAGAGAGAGAGAGAGANAGAGAGAGAGAGAGAGAGAGAGAGAGAGAGAGAGAGAGAGAGAGAGAGAGAGAGAGAGAGGAAAAACCGTGAAAGGACACCAATGCTATGCTCCCCAGGTTGTGGACGCTGTGATTGCAGGGGCTGAGGTTCTTTGTCAGAAAGTCCCACGATCTGTGCAGATCAACAAATGGATGCCAATTATGCCATCATTATGCACTCTGAGCAAGAGGCGGAGGCTGTGGTCGCAGGGGGAAAGGTCCCGTTTCAGAAAGGTCCCATAACCCCGGCAGGCAATCGTCTGAGAAAGCAGATGAATGAAGGAATGCTGATCGAGGGTAGAACCTAGCGACATGAATGACATGAGACATGTTTGGAACCGGGAGCGAACTCAGCAAAGTGATCGCATTTTCCTCTAGTGGGCCAGTCTATGAGCTCGAATGACTAACTGTGCACTTTGCTGGAAAGAGCGAGTGTGCTGCTATAGCCAAGTTAAAGAGCCCGCATGAAGGACGACCATCTCCTTTATGCTGGCGTAGGGTTGTTTGAGCGCATGGCATAGGACGCGATAGTAGATACCCAACGAGGACGGCTGTGAAATTGTGGAAGATTTGCTCTTGTTTCCAGTTCCAATCATGTCCAGCATGAACAGTGAGATTTGCTCCTGTGCTGCCTTGGTGGTTGGCACACACCCTACACCCACAGCAGGTAATAATGACCTGCGGTGATCGGAAGGCCACACTTATCTCCAGTTAATGGCTGTCCGCTGGGGCACCACCAGGATTCGTGGGGGTGAAGCATCAATTTCACAAAGAGGTTTGTGGGGGCGTCTTTTTTTTTTTTCTTTGTTTCACAAAGAGGTTTGGGACCATTTGGGACATGTGTGCTTTGTTGACAAGAAGATTGCAGTTGAAAAGAGGTACATTATTATTCTCTCTCTCTCTCTCTCTCTCTCTCTCTCTCTCTCTCTCTCTCTCTCTCTCTCTCTCTCTCTCTCTCTCTCTCTCTCTCTCTACCCCAAAACAAGTGTACACATGCATGCATTGATGTGTGCATGGACGCCCGCACATCTGTCAGATCTGAACATTCATGCAGTGTTGATGTTCACAGAAAATAGTAAAATACCCCTTTGTCGAGGAATTTTGCTTGTTTATTTGCAAAGTTTGGTTTTGCTTTTAGCTACTTGCTACCTTTTTCAAGACAGACCAGACTTGATCTTCTACTACAATAATCATAATTGCGTTTGTTTCATACGCCCTTGCCTCTGTGTAGGCCGAAGGCCACGGATCTTGCCTGGGTGCACACACTCACCATCAGGAGGGAAGAGGAGAGTGGAGGAGGGAGAGGAGGAGGAGGGGGAAAAGAGAAAGCGGGAATGGAGGGGAGAAGATAAGGGAGGAGAAGGGGAAAGGGGAGGGTGAGGGGGAGGGAAGGGGTGGAGAAGATAAGGGAGTAGGAGGATGATTGGGGGAAGAGGAGGACCAGGAGGAGAAGGCAGAAGCAATGGATGGAGATCAACTAGATGCATATGAAAAATGAAAACAATGAGTACAGGACATGAATGTAAAAAAAGGAGACAAAGGAGGAGGGAGGGGAGAAGAGGGAGGAGGAGGAGGAGGAGGAGGAGAAGGAGGAGGAGGAAGAGGAGGAGGAGGAGGAGGTGGTGGCCAATTACACAGGAAACTTACTCATGGTGTACCCGGTGCACATGCTGATACAGGAACTTCGTGTGAAGGGCTCGATGTCCCCAATAGAAGATAAAATCCTCAATGACAAAGAAAAAAACAATCTGCAAAGCAACCGTCTTCCTATATGACAGCCACAGCAAAAAAAGGAAAAAAAAAAAAAAAAGGATTTGCAGATTGTCAACAAGGAAGTAGACCACACAGAGCACAAACAGAGTAATCTTAAAATAGACACTGTCAGTCAGAAACAGACAAAATTTGCTAAAACATATTTTTTTGTATTAAATACATAAAACGTTGGCCTTGTGTTTTTGTCTTGGGGAAACTAGGGCGCTGTCACGGTTTCAGTTTGAAAACGCGACAGTGCTGGACAGTGCTCTCGAGAGTGCGCCTCCTGACCTCCAAATCGGAGAGCGCCCCAAGTAGAGAGTGCAATGTGGCGAAGCACTAATCCCGAATGGATTTTCACGTCTTCTGACGTTCAGGAGTACTCCCGAATTCTTTTGCCAAGTCCGGAGCAGTGTGGCGACGGTCATAAGGGCCTCGCCGCACTACTCTCCAAATGTGCGACATGAGACTGAATCCACCGCTACAACATGGAGAGATAAATTGCCATCGTTTTTGTCTTTTGTGAACGTGGAGAGTAGTGCGGTGAGGCCCTAAGGCTGACGGGAGCATGTGGATACGAGACGCACATGGGAAAATCCAGTATTCTGAAATCAAACTTATTAGGGCGTACTCACACAGCGGTGGCATAGCAGCAAAATCTGCGAATTTTGCTATCCTGACTTTGATGAAATGCCACCCGGCCCAGTCACATAGCGGCAGCACATCACGAAAGACAAGAGCCAGACTTTCCGGCAATGTTTTGCCAAAATGGTGCCTCGCGTGGTCACACAGCGCCAGTCCCAAATCCTTCAACTTATTTTTTTTCAACAAAGGTCGTTTCGTCGAATTTCCTTTCACGAACTCTCGGAGTGAAAAAAAAAAAATGCTACCACCTCCAGAGGTGGTAGCAAAACGCCCTTCCCCACGGCGCCCCCCACCAGGCCGCTGACATTTGATACATAACCCCCTTTGCTGCTTTTACTTTACCACTTGCCCTGCCGCATGCGCCTGCCCCAACCATCAATCAAATTTTAGCTATATAATTTTGCCGTTAAAGGCCCCAGGGCCTCGCCACACCACCCTTGAAAACTCATTTTCAACAGTTGGCCCAGTTGGGCTGTCGCCACACAACCCCTCTTGAAACCCTGAACCCCAAAAAAATTCAAGAGGTGTCAGAATTCATCTTCAAGAAGGAACACTCTTGAAACCCCTCGTCGCGATTCTCAAGAGCTGTCAGCTGAGAGGGCTCACAAAAAAAAAGACAAGATTGAGTGTTTGTCCTTTCTGCAGACCTGGCTGGATTGAGCACGCAGTACACGCGCAAGAGTTCCTCTTTCAAGAGTATGTGTGGCAAAGGGCCAAAAACGCTCAAAAACTTACCACTTGAAAAGGTCTGACAGCTATTGAAACATTTCACCATCTCTTCTTTTTTTTTTCACCATCTCTCAAGAGTGGTGTGGCGATTTTTTTATTAGTACTATTTATTATTATTATTTATTTTTTTAAGCCCAGGGTGTTGTAGAGGCCAAGGACCAGACCCACGGTGATTGCTGGTAGCGGCAGCCAATGGTTGTCCTGACAGGATAGAGGCCCCTAGCGTGAGTAGGCCCTTAGTTTGTTTCTTTGTCTGATTGCATCTGGATCCCAACCCTGGCCTGTATTTCAACAGAGCTTGAGTGAGGGCATACTCACAATGGGACCTATGATCCCAAATTCCCCAAAAGAAAGGGTAGAAGGCCGGTCACGCAGATTCGCCAAAATAGCAAGTGTACTCTTTGTGTGCCGATTTGTCAGCGGCCTGGGAAGCCGCGGGGCAAGGGAATTTGCGGTCACCTCCGGAGGTGACCGCAAATGCCCTATATTTATTTTTTCGCATTTTCTTCGAAAATTGGCGAGAATTCGTTCACAAAAGATATTGCACAATTTGCGGATGGCCCCATGTGACCAGCACAGTACCAAATCCCCATTTCTCCAGACTGCTGCGACCTTGTCCCATCCGCAGAGGTACAGCAGTCCGACCTGAAGCATGCCCAAAACCTCAAATTGGCCCTTCCCAAATCCGCATATTTTGCGGATGTGGGGTCGCAGTGTGAGTATGCCTTGAGTGTACCAACTGAGAACAAAAATGAACGGCTGCGTTTCCGAAGGAAAGAGAGAAGGGAAGCCGGGAGAAAGCAGGGGCCTCCCTCCACCGCTCACCACATGCACAAAAGACAGATTATGGCGGTGTGCAAGGAAAATGAGCAATAGTGAACTTCAGAAACCAAGCAGCATCATACACATGAGACCAGATAGTTGTGACCTCGAACCAAAAGCAGAATTGCCACACGAGTTCCATCAAATAAGAGCACAGCAAAAGCTCATAAGTGACAATGTTGGAATAGTCTCATCATCATCAACAAAGAACCAATGTCGACATCCTATCTGGCGCTCTGCGCCCAGACTACAAATGGCAGATCCTATCTAGCCTATCTACAATGCCGCTGGTGACGTCAACAGCTCCCCGAAGTACGAGCAGATCTCGGCCAATGCCGTTCGCCTCAAGCACCAGGTATGTCTCTCGTATCACTCACAACCTCGATCCCCCACTCACAGATGCCACGTGCACCCAAGGACCACCATGCGCCCCATCCAGCATACAGCAGCGCAGCTCGGCTATGACTGCCTGCTCATCCAGCTCGCCCATGAGCACGTGAGCGCTGGCCAGAGTCTAGCGCAACAACGCTTGCGCAGCATGCAGCCAGTGCCCGAATGCGGAGTGCTGGGCAGGCACTTTCCTAAATGGAAGTGACCTGCCTGCTGCGTGTGGCCTGCCTGCATCGGGCCTCAGTCCAGAAGCTTCCGGTAGGCCCCGTGAGGCTGAGCCCCAGTCCAAACGAATCAGGCCCAGGGCCTGTGGTGGTTACCCGTGCCCAACTGCCCGCAGCCTGTGTTCGGCCCATGTTGCGTATCTGGCCCAGGGCCTGCCTCAGTTACATACGAAAAAGGCAGCCTGGGCCTGGGCGCTCTCAACCAACTGGCGCTGCGCAACTGCCTGAATTTCCCCAGTTGCATGGTGAACCCAAAAATGGGCCTGTAGGCCTTGGTCGAGCCTGCCTTCACTTAGGGCGGCCGACTGTACTGAAAATAGGGCCCAGTAGGGCATATCGAGGCCTTGAGCCTCGCCCGTGAGCGCGTGAGCGCTGGCCAGCGTCTAGCGCAGCAACGCTTGCGCAGCATGCAGCCAGTGCCCAAATGCGGAGTGCTGGGGCAGGCACTTTCCTAAATGGAAGTGACCTGCCTGCTGCGTGTGCGGCCTGTCGCAGTGTGAGAATGCCCTGAGTGTACCAACTGCGAACAAAAATGAACGGCTGCGTTTCCAAAGGAAAGAGAGAAGGTAAGCCGGGAGAAAGCAGGGGCCTCCCTCCACTGCTCACCACATGCACAAAAGACAGATTATGGCGGTGTATCTTTCCATGTTATGGCGGAAGAGTCGTTCTCATTTTGCAACATTCGGTGAGCGGCGGAGCGAGGCGCGGCCGTAATGCAGGGGAAATTAAGATGAAGGTTACACAGAGGTCTAACGAAAGCGAGAGAGGACAAAGGCACACTGAGACTCAAGAACAACAGGAAGGAGGAGTGTGCACACACACACACACACACACACACACACACTGTCGGGGTTCAACCTCCTGATGAGTCAGTGAAAAAAGTCCGATGAAACAGTCTGGCAGAGTCATGCTTTTTTTAGAGTGTATAAACGTATAGCGAATATGACAACACACAACACGGCCTTGCTAAGCTCTCCGTTCAGGCAGATCGATGCGGCTAGGGTCGGGACCGTACTAGCGGCCATGACATTGGGTGTCCATGGCTGAGTGGGTGTGTAGAGTGGGTTTTATGACTGTGTCAGATTAGTTTCTCAGACTTGCTGCCGTTCTTGTCAGGGGTTTGGACCGGCAGTCTGCAGCTAGGATTGCAAGGTTGGTGTGAGTAAAGTCGACCACTTTTATCTATCGGGGATGGGTATTGCTACCTCTGGGTGACGTGGTGAGTCCTTATCCATCAGTGAAATGAATCCTGGGCAGACTGTCGGAGTTCAACCTCCTGATGAGTCGGTGAAAGTCCGACGAAACAGTCTGTTTGGCACAGTCATGCTTTTTTTGAGTGTATAGCGAACGGGTTTCATGCTGACACCCGCGGACCGATATGTGGTGTACTGGTGCTTTAAGGCACACGGGGATGAGGGCAGCTGCCGCTCAACCACAATCAACGTGGGCAGTCTTGAACGTAAGAGGCACAGTAAAAAAGGGGAGCTGTAAAGAGTCCAAGAACAAATGGAAGGGGTACCCCAAGGAAGGATAACCAAAAAACTGTCCAATTGTAAAATTGCTTGAACGTTGGACTGTTTCAACTCGAGTGCTCTCATGGTCTGCAATAGGACAAAAGCTGCTTTGATTCTGAATCTGGTCATCAGGGTGGAATCGGGGCTGTTGTGGGGAAAATTTAAAACACACACGTACACACCCCGACACAGAGGAGGAGGAGAAAGTAAGGACGCA